CAAAAAATTTATTATTTTATTAAGTCATTGAAAAAAGTTACATTTATACCTTTTTGTATATAGAGCTATTATATAATTATTATAGCTATTCTAATATTATATCATATATAAATTACTTTGTGATCAGCTAATTTTCTATTACTTCAGCTTATAGGTTTTATCTTTTTTATGTGAATAGAGTGTTTGTGTATTTTTTATCTTATAAAGAATATGATAATAATTAGCAATTGATTGTTTTATATAAACTTAGTTATATTATGATTATTGATTATATAATTATGATAAAAATCTTAAACTTGATCTGACTTCTTTGATCTTTAACACTATAAATTATTTGACTTTTATATACTAATTTATTGTTATTAAAAATTAGTTCTCTAGATGCAACTTAGAAAATTATATTTTGTTTCTTTGCTATTTAGAATACTCTTTAAATAATAAAATCATTGCCTATAGGTTATTACTGTAAATTATTTTAAATTCTATCTATGGTTAAAAACCAAACTATTTTATTTTATAATAAACCTAATTCTTAATAATTTCTATGTAATTATTATTCTTCTTTTTTCCTATTTCTTCATAACTTGGATTTTTAATTGAAGATAATATAAGTTCTTTTTGTTCTTGTATAGTCTATTCAATAAACTTATATTTGAGTCTTTTGAATTTTTTTTCTCTTTTAGTAATATTTAGTTTTTTTTTTTTATTTTATTACTTTGATATATCTAATATTTTAAATTTTCTTCTTAAAGATTTTTTTTGCATTTTTTAATAGAGTTTGCTAATTATGGTTAATGTAGATGTTGAAGGGATTTTGAATTATTCTTTAAAATAGTTTTTTAAAAAGATGATCTTGTTTTCTTCTACATATTCACAAATAATATTGAAGAAACTTCTATATCTTCTTTAACTAGTATAGCAGGCTAATCGGTGAGTCTGTCACTAATGACTAAAAGCTTGTGTAACTTGCAAATAGAATAGTTCATCCTTCTATTACATACACAAAACAATACCAAAATCAAGGCAGAGGCGTAAAAAGATTTGGGTAAGTCTCAAGGTAGTTTTCTCTAAAAATACTTATAACTTCACTGTTATAACAATCTATCAAAAGATTTGTCATTTTATTAAGTCATTGAAAGAAGTTACATTTATACATTTTTACTATAGGGCTATTACATAATCACCATGGCTATTTTAGTATTATGTTATGCATAAATTGCCTCTTGATCAGCTAATTTTCTATTACCTCAGCTTATAGTTTTTTACCTTTTTGACGTGAATGGATTATTTGCATATTCTTTTAGCTTGTAAGGGGTATAGTGATAGTTAACAATTAATTGTTTCACGTAAGCTTCGATCGCGTCATGATCATCGGTCATATAACTACAGCGAAAATTCAGAACTTTGTTTGACTTCTTTGACCTTTAACACCAGTTTTCTTTTCAGTTATTGGTTATAGGTAAAATTTTCTTCTTATTCTTTATTTCTTTATAAATATAATAGATAAGCTTTTCTTTTGCTATTTTTCATATATTTTCTCTAGCTTCTATAGTGATTGAATATTCAAAGAGATGTTTTAATGTTTCTTTTGGAAGCTTATATATTAGATAGATTATTATAGTATGGATATTAGATTTTTCTTTTCTAAGTAATGTAATACCGAAAGTTTATTATAAGTTAACTTGGTTAGAAAACTTTTGCCTCTATTTATTTTGAATGAGGTATTACATGAACTAATCTAGCAAGTCCATTACTAATTTATAGTATCTTATATAATTCAAATAACTAACAATACTTATAAATGATACAAAGAAGAAAAGTCTCCTGTAAAAAATACTTAAAAAAGATAGAGATATAGTAATTGACTTGATCAAGAGTAAGTGTTTCTTTAGTTGCATTTTATTTCTTTTATATAATACTAACTATTATTACTATTTATAATAAGGGTTATTTTAACATATCCAACAATACCTTCTCAGCTTACACTAGTAGGCTATTTATGTTTTTCTAGCCAACAATGGACTATTTACTTAATTTAATTTAATCTTTTTTTATTAAAAGTTTTAATAAAGTCTTCTATACTAATATCTATTATATATTCTTTTTATGTAGCTATTGTTAGAATTTTTTCTAGTTCTGTAAATTGGTGCTTTACTATTGTATTCTCTTGCTTTGCAAGAAAATTTATATAATTGTTATACTTATTGTTACTATGTATTTTAATTTTTATAATATTTAGGATGAAATCTTTCTTTATTATTAGATTTTTAATTCTATTTTATAGTAACCAGTTAATATTTTTAGTTCATTTTCTGATTAATGTTTCTACTTATAATCTTATAGACTTTTATGTTTTAACTACTATATTATAATTTATATTTATTAGATTATTATATTTTGGAAGACTGTATATAAGGCTATAAGAATAGCTAGTTTTTTTACTCTTATTGTTGATGACTATATTAATGCCCCTATTAAGAATTGATTGATTATTTTATTATTCTTTAGTAGGATTTATGCAAAGTCTATTTCTAGTTTATTATTAATAGTCTATTTTTTTGAAAAAATATCTATATAAAAAATAAAGTGATTGTTTTCTTGTATTTTGTTATATCTTAAGATAGTTATAAGTTCCTTTCTATTTTTTTCTAATTGAATAACTTGATTAATTAGTGTGACTTTCCAACTTTTTACTTGAACTTCTATTTTTATAGATTTGATAATAAGTATAGATTTTAATTATTAATCTATAGATATTTGCCAATATATAAGATTGCCTAAAAAAAGAATCTGTTTTTTTTTTCTTAAACTTTTTTGTCTATTTAATTATAAAAAAAAAACAAACTTGAAAGAGGGCTATCTCGACTGGTTGAGCTGTTGTTTCTAAACATAGTAAAGAATAGTTGCTAGTAAAGTTGTATAGGAGTTGATAAGGCCAAAATAGAATTTACTGTTAAGGAATGTGATCTTCTCCAATGTACTGCTTAAAACAGTAGAATATATTACTCAATATGTTTTTCTTTTATTAAGTTTTGTCAATATTATTTCTGTTTGCAAGTTATAGCTAGTCAAATTCATATTTTGTAATAATTTCTGTAGCAGGTCTTAATTTTCCGTTACTTATCTTAGAATATTTTTGTATCAAGAAGGGACTAATCCTTTGCATTTATCAAAGAAGATCTGAATCATTTTCTAGTCTCTAAATATCATTGTGATAGTATTTATAAGTTGATTCAAGAATATAATTTTATGTTTTCATAGAGATGAATAGCTTTTTCATATTTTTTGTCATTTTTCAAACCAAATTTAATAGGCAATATATCTTCTTGATAGCTAAATATATCCTTTCTTTTCAAGCTTTGAAATGTAATTTGTAGTCTTTTGGTAAGAGCCAATGTTGCTGCTGTAAGTTTCCCTTGATCAAACTATCTGATTCTATAGAATTTTCCAAAATGTTGCATGGTTTTTAACATTTAATCTGGCTTTGTTTCAGATGAATTATAGTAGCAATTCTAAAAGAATTATTGTTGTTAAGTTGACAGAATAAAGATGATATATAGCTTTTCAATTATATTTCTCAAATACTTTTAAGTCCATATATTTTTTTATTGTGGATGCAACTGTTTGATATTATAATTATTCAGGAAAATGTAATAAAGAGCATCAAGGATATGATGCGAAAGATGTATTGACAATTACTGTTACAAAAAAACTTATCATCTCTATTATCATAATAGAACTTTGGTAGAATTCAAATAGTAAATTTCTTAAATGTTTTACTAATCTGTTATATCAACTTGCAACATAATTTTTGAAGATGCGTGATAAACTTTTTATCACATTTGGAGCCAGCAAAGAGGCTTGCAAATTTTGTCATTTATGTAATTTCCCAAATTTTAAAAGTAAAAGTCTTCGAGCATAAATAAAAAGATTTTTTTATATATGACTGTATAACTTTATTATATGACAAGCTTGTCACATTTCTTTAAATAAGATTTCTAATCATCTTTTTTTTGTTTTGTACAACCTGTGTATTCAAAAAAAGACATATTCTAATTCACTATCAATTCTAAAAAGAGAAATCAATCATCTTGTGTTTGTTTTAGGCGAAAAAATAACTTTGATATCTCACTTTACTGAAAATGTGAAAAAAATTGGTGTTGCAGTATCCTGCCTTGATGATTTTAATACAGATGTAGATAAACACACTTATTTGAGGTCTCTAATTGATATATTCGATAATGTTGCTTAAACTCTCATTTTCTGACATTATTTATCAATAATACTGAATACTTATTCTTGAGCTTTTCTTTCCTGCTTCATATAGTTGAACTTGCCTAAAAAACACATCCGCGTTATTGTAGAAACATCCATTACTGGTAAGTGAGTCTTAATAAATTTAGATAACACGACCTTGCTGAATTTTTTGATAAACATTTTTTTGTCTTTATTATGTAACATCAAATACATAATCCTTTGCTTTTTTATTTATTGCTCCTTATCATTAAAACCCACAATACAAAAGCTAGAAAAAAATCTTTAATGCTTTTCCTGGAGGTATTTATTAAGCAATTTTTGCAAAAGACTCATCATTTTTATGCTGAGATCAATTGAACGTACTATTTATGGATATGTTAGGGTTACCATATATGAAACTAGAACCTTTGCTTTACACTTTTGGTGCTAATTAGGAATATCGGCCTGACTAATCTTTGAGGCAGATCTTGCAAATAAAGCTTAAAAATCATTGGGAAAATTTTATTTTAGGGCATTTTGTCAAATTGAATCTTCCATTATATCTATTTATTTCTGGAGCTAGTACCAGAAAATCTTGAAACACTAATGAATTCTATTAGATGGCTATCACATATTTGTCAACTCAAGAAGATAAGGAGTTGTTAACTAAAATTAAAGAAGCTTGGGTATTCCATGTCACCTATAAAAATAGCTTTGGCTTATGAGAAGATAAATTCTGCCCTTATCATATCATTGATACCCATATGCTATTTCAACTTCTCAGAGTGAAAATAATGCTTAATAAAATTATTGAGACATATGAGCCACCAGATTTGTTGGATGTTATGACATTGATTGCCAAACATTATAATCAAGACTTGAAAAATGTTATAGTCATTTTGGTTGTTGATGGCATGCAACAACTTATGGTGAACAAAGATGACGATTTAAGGTCAGATTCTTCATTTTACAAGACTCTGACATCTGTCGCAGATCTTGAATTTAGTGGCACTTTTGTGATACCTGTTTGTATCTCAACTATCACCAGGCTGATTAATAATACACTGAGATATTATCAGTGAAAATGTATATACCTATCAGTCACTTTTCTACAGCCCCGAGCTAGCAATAAGTAAATAATTTGGTCCCAGTCTTCAAAAATGATGAGATTACTAATATTCTTATGGAAGACTATGGAGAGTATGAAAGAGCACTAGAAGTTCTGAATGATTGCTTGGCTGGTCATAGCATTGAAGAATACAATGTAAATACTTTGATAAATAATCTGTATTCTAAACTTACCAAAAAATATTGTGATGTTATTTTTCATTCTGTGAAAGATTCCAGGCCCATTGTGTGAGCAATATTGACTTGATGTATTTTAAATAGATATAAACCTATTCTCAAAACTCAAAAAACATTGAATAAATTTGTCAAGGTGGATTTATTAGATTTGAACAAATCGAAGGTACTTTAAGTCGATACCTCACTGCACCATATATCTGGCTCTGAATATTTGTGGAGATATCTCAATATAGAGGAGATCCGATACTACGAGATTAGGAGTTTACTGATTATGGTGAGCAAAGAGCACTCTTTAATCCAATAACATTATTATAGGCTAAGTTATGGCAAAGTTTGAAAAATTTGCTGCATCATTTTGTTGTATAAAGTTAGTTATGATTGATAAAGATAAGCTAGTAAAGATATCAGATATTCATGCTGGAGCATGTTTGAATGGTGATATCCAATTTAAAAACCACAATCTACGACTCAAAATTGCAAAACATTGTACAAAAATTAAATTTAAAAGTCTCACTACAAGTGAATAATATATTGATTGCTTTAATTCTACCATTGATGTCTGGCAATTCAAACATTGTATAATTAATGCTCTGCTTCACCATATGGAGATTCCTTCCTTTCATTAGATCAGCTGGGTACCGAGAATTTGAATGAAATCCACCAATTTAAATTGCAGAGAAAAGCAGTCAGTAAAAAGGAGTACCAGGAAGAGTATGAAAAATCTGTATTGGAAAATGATTTTTTCATCCCCTTTACAATTGCAAATTGTAGTGTTGAAATTCTGAAAATATCTGGAATTGTAGATAGAAATGTTTTTACAAACTATTTTGGACTATTTGCTGGAAGACCATACAGATTTATCTGTAATAATAAAGTCAAAAACATCCATACCATTTTTCATGGGCAAATATGCAACATGGATCAAATTAGCAAAAAATGAGTGAATGTAAATCAATGAGATCAAACAAGAATTTTTATTTCCAAAAAAGACTTTATATAATTTCTTGACAAGTAATATGTATCTTGAATATTGTCGTGGGCTAATCCAACGAGTCCGTCACTAATCTATAGTGCCTCGCGTAACTCAGACATTTCACAAATACTCACAAAGAAGAAAATGCCTCTTATAAAAAACACTTAGGGAAGGCAAAGGCATGGTGATTGACTTGACTAAAGGTAAGTGTCTCTTTATTGCATTCTGTTTCTTTGAGATATTACTAACTCTTATCTCTATTCTTAATGAGGGCTGTTTTTCTTAATATATTCAGCTCTACCTCTTTGGCATACATTGATAAGCTATTTATACTTTTCTAACTAACAATAGACTATCTACTTTATAATTGGCTATACTAATCCTAAGCTTTGCAAAACTTTTTATACTTTCAGATATACATAGTTCCCTTATCAGTACCCAAGCCTTATCTATAGTTTCTTACCTTGTGACACTCAATCTTTTATGCCAGACTTT